CTGACAAAAGTTAAGAAAATATTCTTTTAAGAGTTGTTATATATTTTTAATCACATATTTTTTTTGAGATGCAAATATAAATAAAAAAATATAAAGCAATACCATTTCACACATTAAATAATTATAAACATTTTTTTAAATATGTATACTTGTACAAATTAAAGCTTACACAAAAAATTAATATATATTGACCTGAAAGAATAAAGAAAGTCTGTATAATAAAAGTTAAGAAACATATATTATTTATGACTTTTAACTGTAACATCATATATTTTCAGTTTTTTGTAATAATCTAATAGAATTTTCGAAAACTCTCGTATTCGATTGTCTGCCATATTTAATACAAGTTTAAATTTTGGTGTCGAATAAATAAAAAAGATTACAAAATTAATATAAAACAATTAATCAAAGTTGAACATAAAAAAATGTAAAAAATATTCTCTGAACTTTTTATTAAATTGTGTTATTTTTCTATTATATTTCAAAATGTCTATTTATATTATTATTTAATATTAAAAATGTTCAGATACATGGAGATGCTGCCTATCCAGGACAGGGAGTTAATCAGGAATGCTTAGTTTTAAGCAAAACGCCACATTTTGAAATTGGTGGTACAATTCATTTAATGATTAATAATCAATTAGGTTTCACATCTCCACCTTCAAGGAGTCGATCCTCAAGATATTGCACAGATTTAGCGAAAACTATATCTGCACCTGTAATTCATGTAAACGGTGACAATCCTGAGGTATATTTTCGAAGTAAAATACTAACATTTGCTAATAGTGAATTTTTACTTATAATAATTTAAAAATATATTGTAGATGGTTGTGCGAGCTGCAAGAATAGCCTTTAAATATCAAAGACATTTTAGAAAGGATGTGTTTGTTGATTTAAATTGTTTCAGAAGATGGGGTCACAATGAACTAGATGATCCTACAATCACTAACCCCCTCATATATAAAATTATACAAAATCGTGCGTAAGTCATCCAAAATCGGAACATAAGATGTCTTAAAGACTAACCTTGAAAATATCTTACTTTTCCATTTTTTACTGTACTGTATTTTGTACTGTCTGTGATACAATGTATAAAAGATAGCTTCAATAGTCATAATCCTTGAATGTTCGTAAGATATCTTTTTTATTAGACATCTTAGGCATTACTTACTGAGACATCTATGGGATAGCATTTGGAAATCAGGATTAATTTGAAACATTCTCAGGATAAAGTGCTATGTAGAAATAAATTAATACTTCATCATTTTTTAAAAATAAATTATATAATAATTATAAAGGATCTGTAATAGTCACAAAATAACACGAATTTCTCTTTTAATACAGATCTGTACCAGATCGATATGCAGAGAAGTTAGTAGACATCAACATTCTTACTCGAGAAAATGTTGAAAATATCATCGACAATCACATAACGTGGTTGAATAAGACTCTGAAAGAATCTTCGAAGGATGCATCGAGACCGTCAACCGTTTATGCTGGAAGATGGGCGAAAATGAAGCAAGCTGAAGCTAATATAACGCAATGGGATACTGGTGTTGAACTAGGGTTGCTACATTTCGTCGGAGAAAAAAGTGTTCAAATGCCACCAAATTTTGTAAGAATAGATAAATATGTATTCAACTCGCATCATAACTACTACATATCCCAGATAACAAGCTGTAGTCATTTTAACATCAATAATTATATTTTATAATGTAGGCTATTCATCCACAATTATTAAAGAATCATGTCCAAAATCGTCTAAAAAAAATCGAAAGCGGCGACGCATTAGATTGGTCAACTGCTGAAGCGTTAGCCATCGGTTCTTTATTATATCAAGGATATAATGTAAGAATAAGTGGACAGGATGTGGGCCGTGGTACTTTTTCGCAGAGGCACGCAATGCTCGTTGATCAATCTACAGAAGGTGTATCTTGATACATAATCGAATACTAAACATTCACATAATTTATACTTATTAATGTTATCATTTTTTGTCATATATACGTCAATTAAAAGTATTATTATACAGATATAAATTTTTAGCTATTTTTATTCCACTGAATTCCATGGTTGGCAATCAAACTGGCAAATTAGAGATAGCCAACAGTATTCTATCTGAAGAAGCTGTACTAGGTTTCGAATATGGTATAAGTATAGCATCACCGTTTACGTTGCCTATTTGGGAAGCTCAATTTGGAGATTTTTTCAATGGAGCACAAATCATTATTGATACATATATAACAAATGGAGAAGCAAAGTGGATGCTGAGTAGCGGTTTAACAATGCTTTTACCACATGGATATGACGGTGCTGGACCGGAACATAGTAGTTGCAGACTTGAAAGATTTTTACAATTAACGAACAGTAAGGAAAACGGTGTCGACGGTGATGATGTTAATATACATATTGTGAATCCCAGTGAACCAGCACAATATTTCCATTTATTAAGAAGACAGGTAAGAGAAATAATTCATCAGTATAAAAAGAAAAGGTTTAAATATTTACGATAAATTTCTAAGTGGGTTATATTTATATTTAAATATTTAAATATAATTCAAAATACCTCAAATTTATAGATGATAAGGGATTATCGAAAACCTCTGATCGTAGTAGCACCTAAAATTTTATTACGTCATCCGGCAGCAGTATCACCTTTATCTGATTTTGAACTTCGAACAAGCTTTAAAAGTATTATCGGTATGTTATATTTCATCTTTAGCTTTGTTTCACATGTAAAACGTTTTATCCATTAAGCTGCCTTTCACGATGCCTTCATTCAAATGTAATATTATATTAAAATATAAGCAACATAAATGAATTATAACATTAATACACATACAATGTAATAACTATCGATGTGTGTACAGAGAGAGAGAGAGAGAGAGAGAGAGAGAGAGAGATGACGACGGACGACAATGACACAACATGGTGACAGTATAGATTGGATGTGTGGATAACACCGTGCGAATTGCTAGTCTGAGCGCAAAAACAGCAATTTGATGTTGAGTTGTGAAAATTGTTACAAGATTTTATTGTTATTGTATGAAAATCTGTACGCGCACACACGCACATTTGATAATTAGATGAGGTCGATAATTTTTTCATAAAAACTGACTCGACTATTCTAATTCACTTTGTATACGAATAATATATACAAAGTATGTATATAAAAAAATAAATTTTTTTTATAAGATTATATATATATATATAAAATATGTATTTTTACAGGAGATGATAAAGCAGAAAAATGTAACGTTACTAAGGTCATTTTAGTCAGTGGAAAACACTATTATGTACTTAACAACTATCGAGAAACTTCTGGAGACAAGAATGTAGCTATCATTAGAATAGAAAGTTTATGTCCTTTTCCTGTTCAGGAGTTACTAGAAGAAATTGCAAAATATAAACATGCGAAGAGTAAGTAGAAATATGTGATTTTTTACTGATAAAATCAAATATAAAATATGATATTAGGAGTGTGTTTAATTTTGAAGACTTTTTTTTCTTAAAAAACTGATTTATTTAAACAAGATAATGAACGAAACCTTAAAAATTTTCTTTCGCTTTGTATAACTTTCCCATCTTTCTTCAGCCGCAGTTTTTTTCTGATTAAAAAACAAAAGCAACGCGCCATGTCAAAAATGCTCTTTACGATTATTTAGGAAGCTCCATTTTTAAAATGATAATACGATGTTTATTGTTAGTAAATGACTAAATATCATGGAATAATAGTAAAGCATTAAGAAACAATAGCTGCGATTTTAATGTCTTCGATAATACTGACATTAATGCCATCACTTGCAAAACTTAAATCACTCCTAATATAAAAAGAAGAGATGTTATTGTATAAAAAGCATGAATTTTTAAATAAATATTTCTATTTTCAGCTTTTATTTGGAGCCAAGAAGAACCACGAAACATGGGCGCATGGAGTTTTATCAAACCACGTTTTGAAAATTTATGTGGACGACAGGTAAGTAATATTAAATTACAAAAATTAACTATTATGTAGGTTTGTGTGATAGCTTTTCTCGTCGGAATTCGCTTGCAAGATTCGAGAAAGCATGAGGCACCAAATTGTTTTACAGAAACATTTCTTTATTGATATCACACTCGTTAGTCAACAAATTTTACTAAAGAACCATCTAAAACGAATGAATATAACAAGAATTAATGATAATACTAACATTGACATTCATTTATTTTAATTTTTTATTTGAACAATGAAATTAATAAGTGCATATTTCGTCATTTACTTTTTATGACGTAATAACTATCATTTTCAGTTGAAATATTGTGGTCGAGAATCGATGGCATCACCAGCTGTTGGAGATGGACAAATGCATCAACGAGAAGCTAATGAAGTTATTATTGAACCATTTACATTAAAATAAATATCAAAAAATATTACTTTACTCTAATAAAATCACAATATATTCTATTGTAAGTACTGTAACTAAGTATACACTCAAATATTAGATCATTTAAAAAGTATCCGCGGTTTTTTGTTCAATTTTTGAATGAAAAAACCGCGGATACTTTTTAAATGACCCAATATATTTACTCTCAAAAAAAAATATATATATATATATGTACACTCAAAAATATTTACCTTAGATGTTCATTAATTTTATTGATAGAAGGAAATGTTACAAAAGTACAAATAAAAAAATTATGGACATCATTTTTACTTTATTTAGCAATATACATTTCAGAAGCTAGAATTAAATATATACAGCGTCCAAAAGCATCCTTCTTATTTGAAATAATTTCAAATATTTGAATTTCATTTAAAATTTATTTTTATAATACTTGAATTTCTTATACAAGAATCAAATAATAACTTATTAAAAAGAGTGGAATCAATGATAATATCTAATCTTGCACATTCGTTGGTTTTTTTTAACTTATAAAAAGCAATAACGTAAATTGACGTCATAAATAAATATTTATAAATTTATAAATTAATCACATTATATATTTTACTTTAACGTTCCAACAATATTTTTATTTTAAGTATTAATACCTATTTTAAGTAAAATTTTATCCTTTTAACATGTTTTTCAAATGACAGTATTAATAAAAGGATAATCTATTCCTTCTAAAGAAAAACCACTAATTAACATTATTCAAGTAACATCAGTTAATTGTCACTTTTATCTTCTACTTTCAATCTTTCGTGTTCTCTTTGCATGAGAGCTCGCAATTCATCCTAAAATTATGACTTACATTTAACTTTTACTACAAAAATTTACGTTCGATTTTAATACTTATTAAACATACATTATTAATTTACATTCTGAAACATGCATAAAATAATGTAAAATAGACAATAGGAATAAAAATGTTTACCCCCCAGCCAAGTTTATCCGCTAGTAGTTGACAACCTGTGTCACAATCGCCCAACCAAGCTACGTCGCGTCCTCCGTGTGCGCTCTTGACATCAAATACCAAACCCTGCCGTAATCCTAAGAAACGTGATAGACGATCTTGCGTACCTACTTTCTCATTGTTGATGAGTAAACGAGGACAAGTGTTTCGTACTCTTAAAAATAAAATTATTTTCGGAATTGCATATGTTTCTTTTCTAATCATTTTTGTAGAATTATTTTTGATATATATATATATATATATACCTATCTATTAACGATGCGAAAGGTTGCACTACTAAACTTGATCCCATGATAATTAAAAGATCAGCTTGTATGAAATCTCGATCAGCAAGTATTTGGAAGCGTTCGGGTAACGTTTCACCAAAAAAGATTATATCTGGTTTTACAACACCTTCATTTATATATAAAATTTATTTCTAATTAAAATTAAAAAATTCAGTCTTATGTTTAACTATAATAGTAATGTTATATACTACTCCAAATAGATAATTTCAATTCGGAAATAGATTTGAACAGCGTTATAAATTTTGTCATCAAAATACAAATAAAAATATAACAAAATATTGTAACAGAATATGATAGATTGATTGCAAAAATAAGTGGAATTTATCCTTTATTCATTTATATATAATTCATTTATTTGAACGATACATTCTATTCATATTATGCAGGTTCTGTTGACAGAACACTAGTACATCAATCTGCCACAATAACGATCTGAATTTGTTGACAAATAGTATATTGTTAACATTTTGATAACATAACTTATTGGATGTTACAGAAAGATTTAAACAAACGTTATGAGATTCAAAAGTAAAGAAAATTAATTGGATAGAGCCAAAAATTTCTTTTGATAATTATTTACATTAAGGGACCGCCGACTAATGACCTTGACATAGTTGTCCAGGTCGTGACCCTGAGTGATTTCCAACAAGTTTTAGCCATCCTCGTTATTCTCATTAAAAAGTTTATATAAAAAAAATATGAAAAATGATGTCTCGTTTCTACTATATAAATGCAAATTTCTATTTAACATGTAACATCTATCAAGTTTGAAATAAATGGGAGGAACTTTTCAAATTAAAATTCAAATCAGATTACATAAAAAATGTATATAATGTGATATTTTCAGAGAAAGACTCTACTCCTTTGCTCTTGTATTTACTTTATAAAAAATATATGTATATTCATGTTTGATAAACCTCAAATTGTTATATTTAATACTTTAATTATTTAATACGTTATTAATATACATTGTTTTTACATTTGTTTTTATTTTATTTGTTGATAAATTAGCAAAACTGTTCGAAGGTTACTCAGAATCATGACTGATAACATCATATATATACACATATATACATCACATATATACATCAAGACTCAGATCATTGAAGCTGAATTTTTTTTTTTATAATTAGCCAATATATATATTTAATAGTATTCAGTTAATACTTTATCCCAAATTTAAAAAATTTTAATTAAAAATTTTTGAATATCTAAATAATATACAACATAACACATGATGAACAGATTTTTATATTATTTTGCATTGTTTTCATTTATTTGTTTTAAATTTGTAATGCAAAAATATTATGCTATAAATATTGTGGAAATATACCTTTCATCCACAGAAGTGTATAAGGCGCTCGGCATTTAAGACAATGACCAGTATGAAATGTTCCATGAGCTTCCACTAGTTTGTCAGATGATAATCCAGCTACACGTTCCAGTGTATCAATATTCTGTGTATAATGTCGTAACAATAGACCTTTCTCTGACAGTAGACGAATAAAATAATGGCTTATTGTAGGTTTGAAGCCTTCTGGCAATAATTCCTTTGCGAGAGTAAAAAATGGTTCTGGATTCTTCATAAAAAAATCTAATTCGAAAATAGCTTGCGGATGGGGTAAATTATACTTATCTAATTTATGATAAAGTCCACTAGATGGAGACCGAAAATCTGGTATTCCAGCAGCTGTAAAAAAAGGTATGTATTTGTATATACATTTGCCATTAATAATCCATACATATTATATGTTTTATGCCTTTTGATAAAAAAAACTGATCATAATAATTATAATCCTCATATATCAAACAAACATCAGCGAGAAATACATATATATCTAATATAATATTAAATAAAAAACTAATTAAAATATAAAGATCGTTATAAAATAATCTATTATAAAAAAGTTTTCCTAGAAAACGTAGTAATATTATATAATAATAATATATTTTTGTGGTTATGAAAATGATATGTAAATATCACATCATTTTGAAAGAACACAAGATATATAATACTTTAAAAGAACACAGGATATATTTTTTCGTTACTATATTATATAATGATAACAATTATTTAAAAACATAATCTAACATACATGTAACTCAAAATATATATATAATGTAAATACAACTATGATCTTTTAGCAATTTAATGAATGTTATCTATACCTGATATATATATATATATAAAATATACATATTATGGATTCGTTGAGTGTATCCAACTTCCAGTCAGGGATACATTCAAGGAGATTATGCTATTAGTGTTTTTTGTATCATTCTATCCTTGTTTATATCTGATAACTAATGAATGAAATGCAACACAAATAGCTCTAATTGGGGTATCAATCATGTAACTCCCTAGGGCGGAAAAGTGAAAAATGTTTTGCATGTGTGTGTGTATATGTTCATACATAAAAATTTCCACTTTCCACTCTAGAGAAAGTTACATGATTGATATTCTAGAGACATGGTAGTGTCTCGATGCTAAAATAAGTACAGCGTCACGATGCAAGACACTGCCGTGCTCTTTTACACAAACCGGCGAATTGCAGCATATTGAAATTATTGGATGTCTTCCCGAACACAACTATGTAGATTACTCACTTTCAGTTCAAAATTGAATGTTACATACATGACGTTACATCTGTTTCATGTTTTTTACCACATCCAATGTCAATTTTTATCATTATTTTGTATATATATATTGAAATATGTAAAAAAGATGTTTACATTGTAATATAATAATATATTATTGACATATTTCTGATATAGGAATGATATATTCAAAGTATTCTATGTTGCTGACAGCCATAGCAGTATAATTATATTTATTACAAATAATATTACACGAAACATTTCCAAAACTATGATATTGCATCTACATCCGAGTTACATGTGTGCTTTGCTGAATTATATGTATATGAAATGCACCAAATCTTTAATATATACTTACAGGTAGAGATTCCAGCACCTGCCATAGTAATGATTTTGCAATTTGTGTTTTCTTTAATATACTCGACAATTCCATCTAAACTGAGTTTGGAAAGAACCAACTGTTGTGATTCATTATTTTGATCATTTGTTGGCAAGTCAACAAGTCTTAATTTTTGAGCTAAATATCTACGTAATTTTTCCATCTCAGAATAATTTTCTACTTCTGATTCAGATAAAACGTTTTGTTTTTCCTCATTTAGACTACCATCTAAAACAAATAAAAAAATTGATCTCTGAATACATACATTATTTTAATAAAAAAAACTACAATAACTACACAAGCTTTGTAATATATTAATTTTTAATATTCTTAATATTAGGTGTAGTAAAAAGAAATCCATTATTTTTCCAATAGATGGCTTTAGTAATCTGTATCTTGTCTACGCATGATACAGATTACTAAAGCCATCTATTGAAAAAATAATGGATTTCTTTTTACTACACCTAATAATTATGACATAAAATTTTCATCTTATTAAAAGCTTAAGATAATTATTTTTAGATCAATTTGCATAAAATATGTATGTCAAATATAATACCGAGAAGACTATTAAAAATTAATTAATTAAATTTGTAGTTAAAAAAGTATATATATATATTTATGTAATACCAACTCCATATATTTTTTCTCACCCTTTCATAATTGAAAAAAATGATCACGATAAAAATTACGCATGCTATTTTCTGAAAAATTACCTTTTTGGTCTTTTTTAGGCTCCTTGTCCATATTGTGACTCAATACGATTAACGTTTAGTTCTGCGAAATGCGATTTGCCTATTAACTATCGAGTATATATTCACTTCACGGATAACATGTATCACGATAAAAATCTTATTCGATAAATTAAAAACTAGGATAGAACTAAGTATTTCTCTCTTTGCTATACATTCATACGCATATATATGTGTACAATTATTATAATTCATTCATTTTTTTATTATACATTTCATATATATATATATATATATACACACACACACAACAATTTATTAAATAATTTAATGTATTATTTTATATACTTGTGATACACCCACTATAGAAGCAATCCATTCAATACAACCATCGACGAAATATTGAAGACCGTCCACCCCATGCTTAGAGAGAAACCTGAGAGAAGCTGGCCTTGCCAACCTTTTTCCTGTTGCCATCGAAATTGCTCGTATACTACCGCCAGTATCCATTTTCAGTTTGGACTACTTGACAATATACATTTTCCATCACTAATGAAATCATATCGTCGAAAGTAAATGTGGTTCGTATCTGTACTAAAGCCTGCGACACATAATGCTTATTTTTCTGATTGCTAGCAGAATTAGAATCTTGCTACCGTATTGGCTACAATACTCTCACTGACAGCATCGCAGCCAATATTGTTAGGAACTCTGCACAATAAAAGGAACAGGAAACAAAGAAAATAAGAATTTCAACCTATCAAAAATCATGTATTGGGTGCGTTCGGGGGGCACTATTCGCGTTATGGATGCAAACGCTATTCTAAAGAGAGAAAAGTTTGGTGCCACTGGAGAATAGAATCCTCTCAAATATTAATCTAACCTTGACGAATGTTAAACGCTACCAATGCTACGTTAGGGTCGTTCACGGATCTATAAACGCTAAGGGGTTATGTATTCTACAATACATGATTTCTGATAGGTTGACATTCTTATTTTCTGTTCTCTTTTCCTTTTATTGTGCGGAGCCCTTAACGCTATCAAAATACACTATCTCGGAAGGAATAGCATTAATAGCGTACAGTTAGTAATAGCGTGCAGTGACATAATACGCTACTATTAGTGACGTCATGATCGTTTTTGTTAGCGCTATCTACAGCTCCGCGAACAGTTTGTAGTGCTAAATAGCGCGAATAGCGTCTCTTCGAACGCACCCATTGTGGAATGCACAGTTTCTGATAGATTGAAATTCTTATTCTCTGTTCTCTGTTCCCTGTTTCTTTTATTGTGCGGAGACCCTTACACTATAGGGTTTCTAGGCATCGATGGAATCCGCAAAAATCATAGGCCGATAAAAGCGCTCTTTCTCTAAAATTCTTTAGTATACGTAACGTAAATTATAGCATGTTAGCGCGCTAATATCGTTGTAAGTGCATTCTGAATACGGGTCATAAATTTGAACAACAGAAAATAGCGGAATCAGCGGAATGAAGCCGCATGACCAATCACGAACGTTCCGCAGTTTCGCATTCTATGGGAACGCATCCTAATCAAAATATGATTTTTGAACGCACCCTAGCCTTCTTCTGTTCGTCGTATTCTTGCTATTCTCTAATGCCTCTTCTGACGATTTACTGAATATCCAACATAGATTGTCAAAACTTTGAAAACAGCGATGTTGAACATACTGAAGTGCCATCTCTCTAATCACAGTTTGCGTCAATTGGAAAAATTGTCGGTTTATTCTTCGTTAAAATTATATTTATCTACTTCGACAGTCGCTATGATCAATAAGGTACATTCACGACAGTCTTATAAATGTATTTTAATCTTGTTATATAACGCACATGCAGACACACACACACACACACACACGCGCGCGCGCGCGCGCACAGTATGTATCTTTTATGTAATACTTAATTTTACGTAATTTTATATACTAATATTCTTAATTTTGTTGGTGATTTATTTTTATTAAAGATTCGTGATAATATATCTTTACGTATGTCATTAATTTTCTTTTATAAAAAATGACGTATTTTGTTTAAATAAACTGTCATTCAAAATATGCACATTTCGAAATATGTAATAGATATTGTACAAATATTAAAATACAATTTTTAATTATATCTGTATGTATCTATTTTATATATACACACACATACGCGCGCACACACATACACCACGCGCGAGCGCACGCACGCACACACACACACGCGCGCGCGCACACACATTTACTTACATCTTATTTATCATGTTTATTATCATGCAGAGAAGATAACTTTTGTATTCTGTGAACCTTCAGTCTTTCTGCCAGTGTGTTACTGATTACATCTTACATCTTACATAATTCTAATAAAATGGTGAATAGTTTTAAGCTGTTCTGCTATATATAACAGAGAGAGAAAATAAAGTAATATTATTAGGGTAACTGTCCCTATTAATATGCCTTTTAGCCAATTTATTTATTACTGAATTAATTATTAAATATTGTAGCTTTAATATTATCTGCTTGCAATCAATATCAATTTTTCAACTACTTCTTTTTTTATAATGTTTCTTTAATCTAAAAAATGTTAATATTTTATAATGCTTTTGACAAAAATAGAAAACATGTTTTTGTCACAACATGTTTTTGAAAACATATTTTCTCTATTAGTGAGTCCTCTAAGTGGGACGATGGCCCTATTAATATGCCTCCAATTTGTGTGCCTATCCATATTTGACTCATTTTAACATATAGTTACTAAAACAGGTAATAAATTTAAGCTAATTGTTTATGTTAATATATTACATAAATCATTATTTCAGTTCATAAATCATTAGTTTTCTTTATGACTTATCGAAATACACTAATAGAGCACACTAATAGAGACAGGCACAGTAATTCAGGAACAGTTATCCTATCATTTTTAGTTATTTTTTTAAAACTGAAAATAAGAGAAAACTATTCGATAAAAATTATTAGGTGTTGGAATTAATTCGTAGCGTTTTTTAATGAAAGAATGTTATTTATTTCACATGAGCATTAAAAAATACATTAATGAAAGTACTTCCCATCACTTGTAAAACGCTACGAATTAATTCCAACACCTAATACATGGTATCACAAGAAATCTATATTTTGTCGCTGTATTAATTTTTTTAGATAGAATAGCTTTTTAGATTTAATTTTTAGCTATACACACTGAATTCCCAGAAATCCCAGAACAATTTGCTAAATCTAAATTTTTTGTGTTCTTAAACTTTTCTTTTTCTTTGTACAGATATATATCTCGAAGCTTTTTAATTCTATCAACTTTTACATATTATGGACTTATTCCTTCAATCAATTCTCTACTGATCCAAAAAAAATTAATTGAAAATATGTCCACTTTTACAGAAGTTAGGGTAACAAATATAGATCGGGCCATAGAGACCCGAATGTGTATCAAGGTAGAAAAGAAAGTGTGTGTAGCTAATATTAAAGGACATTCGTTTCTTTAAATTACACACACACACGCGCGCACGTAGCAAGTATATACAGACTGTATTCCAAAATTTATTACCAGTACTGAAAGTATATAGTGTGCACGTGACATATAAATTATAGATTTTTAGTACTGACAGTAAATTTTGGAACACAACCACAGAGTGATGTCCACTTAACTCAAACATCTTGAATATTTCATTTTTTTCTGACGATGCAAAAGAATGTTTCAAATGAAAGTGGAACGGTTTTGAGGAGGATTTTGATTATGTTGTTTTTTTTTTATAAATACTTTAAAAAGATAAAGATCATCATCATTTTTTAAAATAGAATTTTGATTTTTTTTTTACATAATGTGATTTCTCCAATTCTTCTGTATAAAAGTAGAGATATCAAAATTAACAATGGTTTATGAGATATTTTATACTTTTTTCTAGCACATATTGACATGAAATATTAGATATTAGTTCGTGAACTATTAATTTTTTGACAATTGTATCTTAAAATGAATTAATTGGTATAAAGAAAATTTACAATTACTTTAAAAAAATATCTAAACAAAATGAATCGTTTTTTAAATAACCAACTGTGTGTTTTCTTTATACCAATTGATTCTTCTCATTCTGTTTATAAAAGTATTAAGATTATGTTCTCGTGAATTATTAATTTTTAAAAAATTAATAGCTCATGAGATTTAATATTTCATGCCAATATGTGCCATAATAAAGTATAAAATAACTCGAAAACTATTGATTTTTTATATCTCTGCCTTTTGCAGAATAATTAGAGAAATTAAAGAATAAATAGAGGAAAATATCTCTGTAAAGTAAGATATTTTACAAACTATTAGTTTTTTAATTTTAAAATATGCAGAATTTTTAATTTCTTTAAGCAAAGAAATCTATATGATTCAAATTAATAAGAAAATAAGATGATCTTTAGATTTAAAATAAATAAAATCTACAGAATTATCTACAGAAAGCAAATTGCTATATGATATTTTTTGTATAATACAACTTTATCAATTCTAATAAATTTTACTGTCATGAAATGAATTAAAGATATAAACACACAATACACATAAATATATACATAACATATACATATGAGAGTACTTAACTACAAAAGTACCTAATACATACATGATTTAATATATTTTAATGTTATTAATGTGAATATAATTATATACTATGTATGTACAGCAACAAGAAGGCAAAAGTTACAGAATTGAGAAAGATACATTTGGAGAATTAAAAGTTCCTGCAAACAAATATTATGGTGCACAAACTCTTCGAGCAATGATGAACTTTCCAATTGGTGATACGTTTGAACGTATGCCTGTAAGCAAGAGCAATAAATTGACCTATTTGTTTTTTTTAATTAATACATTTCTCTCTCTCTCTCTCTCCCTCTCTCTCATCTAGTATTTGAAATAACCAATGATTATTTTTACAGTGCAGGCTAATAATAGCTATGGGTATATTAAAAAAAGCTGCTGCAGAAGTAAATAAAGAATATAACTTGGATTCTAAAATTGCTGATGCTATTGGTAAGGCAGCAGATGAAGTAATAAGCGGAAAGTTATATAATGATCACTTTCCCTTAATTATTTGGCAAACTGGATCTGGCACACAAACTCACATGAATGTTAACGAGGTTAAATATTATATTAATTTCAACAGCATACTAAATTATCATCCTATGAAATAAAGTAATCATCCTATGAATAACTATTTGATTTAACATATTTAAAATGTATTTTAAATGTTTAGGTTATTGCCAATCGTGCAATTGAAA